TGCCAAAACTAATCTTCCAGCTGAGCTTTGTAGTATACACCCATAATCTAAGAACTCCAGAGGCATAAACTAAAGGCTTGCAGCAAATTCAAGGCCAGGCAAGTCTACATGGCACAGTCCAGACCTGCAAGGCTACATAGTGAGACTCTGACTCAAAAAAATGCTTAAGCTGCTGGGCGGTGGTGCACACCTTTGGCCCTAGCAAAGGCAGGCAGATCTCTTGAGTCCAAGGTCAGTCTGGTCTACGAAGAGTTCCAAGAGAGCCGAGGCTATACAGAGAAACCCTGTCTCAGAAAACAAAACAAACAAATAACAACAACAACAACAAAACTAAAGCAAAGCAAAACCTCACCTTCGGCTTCCTTCAGTTTTTTTCATTTTGTAGATGGCATTTGTTGCTCAGGCAGTGGCAACAATCTCTTATTACCCACCTAGTGAACCCCTGCTAAATTTATCCACAAAGCAAGTTTTTAGCTTGCTTGCATTTGTTTTGCTTTTGATGTCCATTTTATGAAGAAATACTTTAGGGGATTCAAAAAGTAAACAACCAAGAGGTGATTGTTTTGTTTTTCGAGACAGGGTTTCTCTGTGTAGTTTTGGAGCCTATCCTGGCATTCTCTCTGGAGACCAGGCTGGCCTCGAACTCAAGAGATCTGCCTGCCTTTGCTAGGGTCAAAGGTGTGCACCACCACCCAGCAGCTCCTGCCTCTGCCTCCCAATTAAAGGCGTGCGCCACCAACGCCCGGCTGACGTGAAGGATTTAAGTTGGACCTCTTCACTCAGAGGCCCTCATTTCTGTTGTTTTCTTTTTTAAGCTCATGTTACATGTGTGCCTCTGTGTGAGTGTATGTCATGTGTGTCTAAGTGCTAGCAGAGACCAACAGCATTGGTGCCCCTGGACTTGGAATTACAGGTAGTTGTGAGCCTCCTAACATGTGTGCTGGGAATCGAACTCCAGTCTTCTGGAAGAGTGAAAGCACTCTTAACTCCTAAGCTGTCTTTCTAGCCCAAGCTCTGAAGTTATTAATGGAGTTATATGTTTCATGCATCTGAAAACCTGGTGTCTTGTCCTCAGCTTCTTTCTCAGATAATATTCTGTGAAATGGACTGGAATCTACTTCCAAAATATTCTCTTGGTTTGTGCTCCAAATCTGTTGTCTCCTTGGCTTCTTCCAGGAAGGTGAAGGTAGCTGGTCTTATCCCTAGTAAAGGATGAAGAAGCCTGTGTGCTCTCCTAGAATGTATGCACTGTTGCCTCTAGGTCTAGGAAAGTGGTTGGATCTTGGTCCATGGCTACCTTTAGACTAGTGGTTAACACCACCTCATCACAAATGCCTGGGTCACTAGTCAGCTCTATGTCATTAACTCTAGTGGGTCATTATTTGATTCCAATAGGTTACAGGTGAGTCTCATAGGTCTTTGCAGGTTGATTCTAGTGGTCACTCGTGGATTCTAATTAGTCACTGATTGATATAAGGGTGGACTGAGGTAAGCCAGTGCCATGGTGAACAGGTGTCAGGACCTTGTGGGGTATGGTGTTTTGGTGTGGATAGGGGCAGCAGGTGAGTAGGTAGAAAGCAGTCTTCCCATCATCTCTGTTAGCTTCTGCCAATATTAACTCCCATCTGGATCATTGCAAAAGCCTGATAACTTAACCTCCCCCACTTTTCACTAATTCAGCAATCCTGTTCTGACCCACACCAAAAGTTAGCTTTTTCCCTTAGCCCATATGGTCACTGTACTCCTTTCATTCCTTGGCATCAATTTCTTGTTCATGCCCTATTTGGTTTGACTGTCTGTCTGAATTATACCCTCTATTTACTTCAAACATGTCTACTGTTAACTGTGTTTCGTCTACACCAATTTTCTTTCAGTTGTTCGGAAATGCCATATTCTTTTCTGCCTTAGTGGCGTCATTTTGGTCTCCTAGCCGTGAATGTTTTCTCATGTCTTCCTAGGGCTTGAGATCTACTTATCTACCTACCTGCCTATATATCCCCCCCACCCCGTGTCCCTGAACACTGGGACCCATGTACGTACGCTCACTGTGCAGCTGAAGATGACCTTGAACTCCCTATCCTACTGCCTCTACTACACAAGTCATTTTTTTAAATTTTTCCTTTTTCATACTATGTGTGTGTTTTATCTACACCACACACATGCCTGGTGCTCAAAGTAGTCAAAAGAAGGCATCGGATTCCCTGGAACTGGAGTTATAGATGCTTGTGAGTCACCATGTGAGTGCCAGGAATTGAACCCAGGTTGTCTGCTAGAGCAGTTAATGCTCTTAACTACTGAGCCACCTTTCTGTCCCCTTTAGTTTTTATTTTATATACCAGCTCCTCCATGGAGACTTTTACTGTCCATTGTATTTCAAGGATTCACTCTATTATTCTCAACTCAATCTCAACGCACTTCTGTTTGACAGTAGTCCTGACAAGTCTTGTCTCAAGTAACAAAAAAATGACACTATGAAAGATGAAACAGTGAAAATGAGAATGTGACCACCCTCACATCCAACATTGAAATTATGCTTTTAAAAAATACTTTATTATTTTTATGTACACTGGTGTTTTGCTTGCGTGTGGGGGTGTTAGATCTTAGAATTACAGTCAGTTGTGAGCTGCCATATGGAGCTGGGAATTGAAGAGCAGTCGGTGCTCTTAACCAATGAGCCATCTCTCCAGTCCCCGAAATTATGCTTTCTTAAGTATTTTGCCATTTTATACTATGCTAACATCTTGTGGTAGGCTGAAATCTTTTTCTGGGTGGGAGGAGTTCGAGACAGGGTTTTCTGTGTAGCTTTGGAGCCTGTCCTGGCACTCGCTTTGTAGACCAGGTTGGTCTCAAACTCACAGAGATCTGCCTGCCTCTGCCTCCCGAGTGCTGGGATTAAAAGCGTGCGCCACCGTCGTCCGGTAAATTCTCTTAACTTTCAAATGAGATTAATTTTGTGTATAGCTATCCCCTGATGTAAATGGCTTATGCCTCCTTTGGTTGCGCAGCCCCCTTAAACTAGCAGCGCAGTTGGTGTGCATGGGCTCTCCCTCCCTCTTCAAGACTGACAGAGCCCCACAGATCGTTAGTTACCAGGTTTCCTCCTAAGGATAAAGGGGGCATGGAACATGTGTTAAGAAGGTGAAATGTCAGCAAGCTACTCCACATTCTTCTCTTGGTGTCTTCCCGAATAAATAATTTTTCTTGCCAACAACTGCAGCCATACGCTCTATTTTTTTTTTTCTGAGTGTGAAAGAGGCCCGGCAATTTAACCTTATCTTCCAATGAGTTAGCTGAAAATGTGAGCCAACACGGTTCCAGGAACCAAGATTAGTCCAAGCCATGGCTCCATGGCTATCGATATACCTCACAGCTCAGGCAAGTTTAAGGGTCTACACTGAGCCATCCGCTTTAATAACTACTACATCTGTGACTGTTTCGTCTGTTACTTCAAAAAAAAATCTCCTTAGGAAAGGTTAAGAATACAATGTATGAAAAGGCTAAAACCTACGGAAGAGCCCACCCAGGACTATGAAAAAAAAAAAAGCAGAAAGACAAACCAAAAAGAAAGCTTCACTAAGCTGCCCTTGTGAACGCCAAAGCACTGTTACAACAAACACACCGACAAAAAAAAAAAAAAAAGAAAGAAAAAAGAAAACACACTGACACCTATTAAGAGCAGGTGCTAGCGAGACACTGCGCAGGCGCCTCTCGGTCGCAAGAGCCCTGGGGCGGACTCCCGCGCAGGCGCGCGGACGGGGAAGTGGGCGGGGCCGCGCACGCGCGG